TATGTAAATCATTTTAATATATATTTAAATTGTGAGCAATTCAAACCATACAAGTAAATATCAATGGACCTCTAACCTACTCCTATGTTAATATTAAAATCTTCAAGCTATCCATCTTGGTCAATCTTAAGTTCTTTGAGCTCAAATTTTGATTGAACTTGAGTTTTGCAACACACTTCTCATATAAGTAATTTTCATGCACATCCATTAAATCATTAAACGTAAAATACTTGGCACATAAAGTAGAATATTCAAGCATATATTTTTTATCATTAAAATTACTAGATTAGGTCATAATGTAGGCAATATTAATAATTATAAGAGAGTTATATAACCAGAAAGGAACAAAGTATCTCATCTACACTCCTTGCTTAACTTACAGAGTTACTTCAAGAAACACATACTAAATACTACAAATGAAGTAACATTTACTTCCCTAGTCTCCCTTTGATCTTACTCTAAGAGGGAACTGGCGAAGTACTCTAAAAAAGTATTGAATTTTGCACAAGTGACTGAACTCCCTTACAAACATTACATCGAAACTATTTTAAAGACAACATAAGAAGGCATCTGGCACTATGGTGCTTCAAAGAGTGGCATCATGGTGACATTGAAGTGAACTATTACCTTAGTGTTGAAACTGTTGCAGCACCATAGTGCTTGTTGATGTGGATCAGCTACTTAGCAAATAGTCGCATCTCTTCACTCAAAGAACCTAGCCCTTGAAAGTTAAAACTACAAGGCAACAGTGCTATTAATATTCTAGCATTTTAGTGGCCGAGTGGCAAAAAATGAAGCCAAAGCATTACAAATTATAGCACCGTGACATTTAAAAATAGAGAATCTAGCACTGCTAAGCTGACTATTTAACATCGTGGTGCTAGTAATGATGTAGGGTTGGTTATGTTGTCATTGAAGTGCTTGCAAATAGAGAACTCGGGGTCACAATGAAATATAGATCTTCTGCGTAGACAACATTATAGGACATTCATCATTGATGACTACAATCAGCAGCCATCATTACTGTCAGACTAGCCTAATTGGACTCCTAAAATAATGTATGGCACAGATGCAGAATAATTGCACCTTGTTTAAGGTTGAGCTTCAAATTACTAGGCTAATAATAATGTCATTCTACCACCTGTCACCTAACTTTCTAAAAATTGACCCCCATCATTTAAATTTTACAAAACAACTACAGATGCCCAAATTCTATAACATTATTATTAGTTGACTAACATTTGATAATCCTCTCTGCCCAACACCTTTTCTTCTATAATATGGAATTAGATAATATTTTTTAACTATGTATACTCCTCTTCTTCAATTGATGGTATGAGTGAGCTCTATTTTCTTTAATTATATAATGGGCAATTTCAATTGAGCCTGACTTTGTTATTTTCCCCTTTTTAAGTTTTCCATGAAAGATGACCTTATGTCTCTTGTAATTTGTATATGTGCATGTTGAATCTTTTACAAAACAAAGATTTTAAACATACTCTCTCTTCTAGAATAAATTTTCTAAAACTTAAAAAAAATATTCTTTATCCTTATACAACTAGGCATACTGTATTTTTTTTTTAGGTTAGAATGAAGGTTAGGTTTTCATTAGTTGTAATTAGGTTAAATATAATTTACTCAATTTGATTAATGTTCCTTCTACTCACCCCTTGAGGAAATTTTACTATCAAAAAGTTCAAAGGAAAACAAAAATATAATTTCAATAATAACAGAAAAATATAATATATCATATTAATCTCTTAAGTTGTAGCAAAAAAAATAAAAAGAATAGCAATCGCATATGTTAACTACTAGTCTGACGTTCAAATCAAATATTAGTTCCCCAACTTATAATCTCTCTATTTCAATTGGAAATATTATAAGAAAAGGATATACTTTGTTGCGGATCAATGGTTTATGATTTTGATGATAACAAACATTTTTATTTCTCTACGAC